CATGGACCTCTTCCACAGTACCTTGTCCTTGAAGATTATAAGGAATCCCAGTAATATGGGTAATATTAAATTGTTGCCAAAAGTCTGCAGTAGCCAGTTCCATCATCTGTTTTTTTTTTTATTATTGGATATTTTATTTATTTACATTTCAGATATTACCCCCTTTCCCCATTCCCCTCCCCCCAGAAATCCCTTATCCCACCCCCCTCTTCCTAATTCTATGAGGTTGTGCCCCCACCCATCCACCCACTCCCACCTCCTGCCCACAAATTCCCCCACACTGGGGCATCCAGCCTTCATGGGACCAAGGCCCTCCTCGCATGGGGAGAGGGTTTACGTGCAGTACTTGTTATGAAATTCTCAAAAGTAAATTGAGAAGTACCTGCCTATTTGAGTTCTAGTGAGAATCACAATTCATGCTTGCTAGTATGTGTGATTGCGTACCCTTCCCTTCTGTGGTCCTCCCCAGAGAACAGCCACTACTACAACTGTGACTGTGTCACACTTAGTCCTGAGGGGTGTACTCTGCTTGCAGATCTCTTTAAGTGCTTTGAAGCACAACCTATAGCTTTGTGGTGACTCTCCTGAAGGTGTGCCATCCATTTCATACATTCCAGAATATCCTGGTACAACTAGTGTGGTTCTCTGTCCCACCTCGTCTGTGCTGTGATGTTTGTACCACAGAGGTTTGTTTCTCTTGCTTTCGATTCACTAAATGCTTGCTGCTGTATGATTCTGGCACTTAGCTCTTTTATTCTAATTAAATTAATTTTAGCTGCTCTATTTTGGAAAGCTGGGAGTTGTCTTAATTCTCCTAAACGTATTATGGGAATGAAATAGTATACAACAGAATAGAGTAGTCTATTTTTACTTATGTCCCACTTGTCTTCAGAGGTTATTAGCACATGTCTAGCCTTGCTTTATCTATGTGCTTACCTGTTCTCTTACATAGTTTTGGGGAAAATACCTCAGACACTTTAATAATATATCTTTGAAAATAAACCAAGCCTAAGATAGGATTGGTTTCCTTGATGGTGCTCTCTCCTTAGTGCTGGGTTATCACCGGGCAGTCAGTCAGTCAGTCAGAGCGGGTGGGCTCCTGGCATTAACTTCTAGGGCACTTTTCAGGACTGTCCCACGTGTAGTCTTCTGGCATATCTATAGAGCTATTTACTGTCCTATTTATAGTTGAGGGTGTGTGTGTATGTGTGTGTGTGTGTGTGTGTGTGTGTGTGTGTGTATTCAGTTATTAAATTTAATCAGTAGTAAATAGATTAAGATTTAGAAGTCATACACCTCATATGTAAATTTCTGTAGCAATCTACATGGGTTGACATGTACATGATGCATTAAATAAAACTGCTTAAAATATAATTTGAAAATTATGGTTTCTCAGCAAAAGCTTCAAAATGAATAGTGAAGTTTTTCTTTTCGATATATTACTATATTACTGTAATAATTGGAATTCACTTTGAGGGGAAACGTCATGGAAAGAGAAAATCAATAGGTTTTAAGTAGGAAGACTCAAGATTTCTAGTAGGGCATTTCTCTTCCATCTGTGAAGCTGTTGGATGGAAGATGCTGCTGAGCTGAGCTTTGTCTGTGCAGAGGCACCGTCTCTCGACTGCTGTAGTACTAGCTGAGGCCTACTGTTACTGCCGACCCCTCACTCTCCCTGCTGCTCTGTTGGGATGTGGAAGGGTGCTGTCCTTTCCTCTCGAAGATGTGTATGAAACCCAGCTGCTTGATGAGTGCTCTGTGGTGAGAAGTGGGTGGGAGTCAGCCTGGAAGGGTTGCTGGTTTTATCAGGAGTTATCAAAGTGCTGAGACTGAATTCCAGGGTGTGTTGTGTGCTTTTGTCAATAAAAGGGTCACACTAGGATGTTTAGGGAGGTTTTTTCTCCAAGGCTAATGTTTGGAAAAAGTGGCTTTGTTTTCATGTAAATAGGGGTTGGTGATAGTTGTGGTAACTCACATTATTCTTTTAACTTGAGAAGTAGTGTAATCTGTGTTCTCTGCCTTTGCTTTTAAGTACACCATCACCCTGTTTCTTAATCTATTCCTTCCCCAGAAAGCACATTTCTTACAGAGTATGTGGTTCAGTTGTGGACTAGGATTTAAGATATTTTAGACGTAGACAAGCTAATTGGAAACTGAAAACACCATTCTATTTATTTATGTATTTGCTGCATATCTGCTACATAGGTGTAGGAGCATAGGTTCAGTCCATGTCTGTTCTCTCGTTGGTGGTTCAGTCTCTTGAGCCCCCAAGGGTCCAGGTTAGAGTTAAGTCCCAGCAGTGCACTAGATTTAAGCTAGTAACCTTGTACTTGAGATTATACCGTGCAGTAACCAAGGGGATATATTTTACAGCTCTATTTTTTTAAAGAGTTCAAGATTATATATTATTTAAATTAAATTCTTAATGATTTCATAAATTGAATTTTCTTTTTTACTATTTCAGTGTCTAGTAATTTCCAATTAAAACCATCTAGAGATTAAAAATATGGCTCTTTTCTGCCCATGGGTTTTACTAGTGATTATTAGTTATCTCATTATTTGGAGTTTAAAATTAAATCTGGGGGCTGATGAGATGCTGGCTCAGTGCAGACAGGTGCTTGTTGCGTACACGAGCCTCACCTTTAAACCCGCGTTTGATCCCTGGAATGTGTGTAAGTGTGGAAGGAGAGAGCCTACCCCACAGAGTGGTGCCCTGACAGCCACACACCCCACCACGTACAAGTCCATCAGTGCATAAAGTAAAACAGCAACAACAAGAAGCCAGAGAAGTGGACATGGGCTCATCGGATAAGACTGCCAATTTTACTGCAGAGCGAGAGCATTTAACTTAAAAATTCTAAACCTGTGATGTTCTACAACCTGAAACGCTGAACAGGGACTTGATGTTGTGTGGAGAACCTCACCTAATATCATGACCAGTTGTCAAAATACAGACGCCTTAATAGCATTGTGTAAAATTCCTTCAGGATATTTGTATTATGAGTCTGATACTGTGCTTGAGAGAGAGAATTTCCTGGTCTAGTCCTGGCTAGAGCATACAATACAGCGTCCCACCCCACCCCCTTTCTTTACTGCTTTCAGCTAGCATGAAACACAAGCATCACAAACTGAGGTCAGGATGCTTGAAGGCTTGTTCTTTGTAGAAATTTAAGAAGGATTTCATAGATGAAGGGAAGTGTCTTAGGATGCACATTCTTCTACCACTGTGCTCTCCTTACCCTAAACTGAGTGTAGAGAGGTCGCACAGGTCTCTGTTGGGGGACTGTGAGAGATGGGATCGGCTGTCACTGCAAGTCCTTTAAGGATGCTGATCGTGCTGGAAGCCATCTTTAGCTAGATTTGAAGGGAATTTTCCCTGCTTTTGTATCAGAAGAACTGATTTACTTCATGACATCTGTATTATAGATGCTGTAATTCATGTCACATGGGATCATGTTACTCTGTGGTGACAGAAACTGAATCTGGAGCCTACATTTATAAAGAGATACCTAGTTTCTTCGTTATCTTGTTCTGCCTTTCCATTATTCTTGCTTTCTCATATGCTTGAAAATACCTTATGCTTTCTGTATGCCAAATTGATGCTTTATAGGAATATTTACTATTAGCTATTTTTAAAGTTAAATTTTAAAAGATAAATATATAAATAAAGTAAAAAATACAGTATTGTGATTTTGATATATTTCCTGTAATTTGGTTGTCTTTATATAATCTCAATAAATACTGTTAAAGTATGCTAAAATATATTTTACTTTGTTAAATTAATTTTATTGCTATTTTTAAAACATTTAGTGTTTTTGGTGTTAAGATATAAATTATTGTAGAATATAAATATATCTTATAGATCGCTCAGCTCTTTTTGGTTATGAGAGTTAAATATGAACTAATAAATATTTAAATTAAATGATTCTAGCTATTTTAGTCTAATAGTGATACTAAGACAAACTGTATATAGTGTATGTTAGCTTTAAAAATACATAACTCATATTACACAGATAATTTTTGTATTTTTTTGAATCAGACTCAGCATTTTGTGTCCCATGCTAGGCTTTGTCCTTGGTACAGCTCTTTCTTGTTCTTTGTTTGAGGCCTGAGGTTTATAAGGGAGTTGATTCCATTTTGACCTGTAGTTTTGTCTTAGTGCTATGAACTTAAGACACTCATTGTTTTACTAGTAACCTTAAGAGTAGCTAACATAAATTTTAATTTCAAAAACATTTAACATAATTTAAGCATTACAAGCACTTTAAGGGTAATAAAGTAGAAGTAGCCATGGAAATGTCAGTACAACTAACTTTTTAGTTGCAGAATTGAATATAAATTTGAACCTTGTGAAATTTGAAATAGAAATCATCCAAAAATAGATAAATAGTAGTGAATGGTCATTGGGTTAGACAGAATATCTCAGGGACTTCAGGCAGTGCTGTGAGATCAGTGTAAATATGTTAATAGTGCATTCTAAAACTGTTCGTATGGCTGTCTGTGGTGATGAGAGACACTACTGACCCAGAGCTGTGCTCCATAATGTTAGTGTGTCAGCACGTGGACTTTGAACTCTATGGTGCCAACCCTCTGCTGCTCTGCTAAGTGAATAAGATAGTTTAAAATGAAGGTGTTTTGGGTAACAGGTAACTCTAAAGGGAATTGTTTTAGGGGACCCCTTCACCTCCTCACTATGACACCAGAGCTTTCTTGAGTCATTAGGTGTTCCCTAAGTTCCCAGGTTTTGTGTTCTTACCTCACCTTCTGTTTGGTGTCACGTTTTCAGGAGCTTACTGTCTGCCCTTGTCCAGCACAGAGATGTCTGTGACTGCCTCTGTAGTGCATTCATGGCTAAGTTTACTTTTAGGAAACAAATTCTGCCATTTTCTCTAAGCATTACCAAAGTTGGCTAGAATCATGGACCATGGACTAGAACAGACCCCCTCCCATGATGTATTTGTCTGCAGTCAAACAGCTTACTGTTTGATCTGTTATTACAGGATTCATGCTTGAACTGGACCCGGAGCACAGACCTGACATATTTCAAGTGTCCTACTTTGCATTTAAATTTGCCAAAAAGGATTGTCCAGTCTCCAACATCAATGTAAGTAGTTTTTCAAGTAGGTAAGACTTTAAAATCCATTTTAATTGTGCCTTTATGAGTGCCTGCATGCTTTGAGAGCTACCTGTTTCATGACAATTGGTCTTGATGGTGTCATGCTGGTTTTGTATGAAGCCTCATTTCTTAGACTTTGGTCAGGTATTGTGGAGAGCTTCATCAGGATATCCGTTTTTGCACTGTGCAGAGAAATGAAACATGGCATTTGTCAGTCACAGAGCATAAGCTGTTATTAAGTATTAAAGTATTTGAAAATAGGATTTTAAGTGCTTTTGTTCTTTAACCAAGAGGTGTAGTCAAATAGTATTGACACAGATACTAAGCACAGTGTTAAGTGAAAAACCGTGGGACCCTTTGAAATGTAAGTAGTAGAAACCTTGAGGAGGGAGAGACTTGACTTCAATTACTTCTTTTATCAGTAGCTGAGTTTATATCTTTATGGTGGCAAATCCTATTGTCCTCCTGTTGTAAAATTAGGATAGTAATTATGATGATTAATGTATAGTCCAGTAGCCCAGGCTAGGCCAAGTAAGATGCTCATTTGGGGATGACTGATTTTATTCAAAGGTTTTGATGTTTCTCTCTCTCTTGCTTGCTTGCTTCCTTCCTTGTCTGCTTGCTTTCTTCTCCTGTTCCTCCTACTTTTAAAATAAATAAATAAATAAATTTATTTATTTATTTATTTATTTATTTATTTATTTATTTTTGAGAGGCCAAGTCTCTACATAGTTCTGGCTGTCCTGCAACTCATTCTGTAGACCAGGCTGGCCTTAAACTTAGAGATTCTGCCTCTGCCTGTCCGAGTCTGGGGTTAAGATGTGTGCCATCGTGACTGGCTGCACAGCTCTAACTTGTAGTCACTCCCTGCACACTGTCATGAACTATACATGCCAAGTTTCTGCCACTGTTACTGAAGGTTTCTAGTTCATCATTGATTTTGTAGACATCATTCTGGCTTACTTGTTCTGTTTCCTTCAGGTGTAACTTGATTCATCTACTTAGGCAGTGAGGTCTGTGGCACCTCTTCCTTTTCAGCCCTGAGCGGATTACTTTGATTTCTGTGCAGATGTTCTGATGTCTTAGTGAGGAGGGCAGCTTTGCCTGAGGCGTACCTGCCTTCAGCTTTCTGTGTCAGCTCCTGCTTACAGTGGCCCAGACTGACAGACATGGCATAAAGATGAACTGTCTTCTAGGCTTTACACTGTCATGACAATTCCTGGTAGGACTTAGAAACAACAGGCTTGTTACCCCGAAGTTCAAAATATCATTTATTTACAAATGTTTTATAATCTTTTTTTTTGTTGTTGTTGTTTTTTGAGACAGGGTTTCGCTGTGTAGCCCTGGCTGTCCTGGAACTCACTCTGTAGACCAGGCTAGCCTCGAACTCTCGGAACTCAGAAATCCTCCTGCCTCTGCCTCCCAAGTGCTGGGATTAATGGCGTGCGCCACCACCACCTGGCATAATCTTTTTTTTTTTACTCAGTGTTTACCCAAAAGAATAGTGTATACAGATCATCATCTAAAGATTTCTGTAGACCATCAGAATGAAGATGACATTATGTAAAGTGATACTTACAGAGTAAATCTGAGGACTGTGTCTGAATGCTAGTATCTCAGGCTGTGCTTTACAACTTTTATGTCTTATCTATAGCATCAACATGACTACCACTCAAAAACTAAATAAATTCTTTTTTCTTCCAAGAATTCTTTTCTTCCATCAGCTCTTCCCGAACCGATGACTGCTACTGAAGCCGCTGCTAGGAGAAGCCAGATGAAGGCCAGGTGGGTAGGGTTGAGCTGCTGCTGGAGGGCGGCCATCTTGTCAAAGTAGAGGCAGTAGTTTCCGTTCCCTAAATACTGTCTCCACTTACCCAGCATGCTGCGTTGTTCAGTCTGTGGTGCTAGGAGGTAGACGAGAGAGGGCCTGACAGCAGGCTCCTGTGAGCAAGCACTCTCTCACCAGTGAGGACGGACTGTGGGACTGTGGATGTTGCAGCGGGCCCTCTGTGGACATGTGGTTGTCATCATTTTCAACACCGGCTGGTCTGAATTCAGGGAACTGTAGAGGCGAGTTAATAACTACTAAGCCTATTTATATTTAAGGAAGGAAAAAAATAATCGTCACAGGCCATTAGTGTGGGTAGTTTGTAGAATTTATATGTGCATGTAACTAGAATGCTTGGTAAAGAATCAAGATTGAAATCTTATTTTCAGTTATTTACTCCATTACTAAACTTGACTCTATCATGTAGAGTAAGACCTTAAATCTGGGGCTGGAGAGATGACTCAGCAGTTAAGAATACATATGGCTTTTGTGGACAACTTGATTATTATTAAAAATGAGCTGTGATTGGCTATTATATAACTGATCTTGCTGTCTTCATTATGTTTTTAGACAGCTTGTACCATACCACTCTGATCATTCGAGCATCTGCCCTGTTAGTGTTAGGAGACTGCATACCTGCAAAATGTTTATACATTTTCTGGAAAAAATTTGTCTTAAGGTTTTTTTAAAAATAATTTTGTGCATCATAGTACCTTTTGATCATACGTGCTTCCATTACCATCCTTGTCTCCTCCCACCGCCTGCTTCCTCTTCCTAACCAACCCCTTCTGTATTACTTCCTGTCTTTCTTCTTATGACTTACTGAATTCAATTATATTACCAATCGGAATTTCTGACATTTTGCCACACAGTTTTTCGTTTCTTTCTTTTTGGAAAGATAAGTGTTAGGAGGTCTCCCTCTTGTGGTACATAGAGGTATTATGGTAGGTGTGTGCTGTAAGAACTGTGGACTTGATAAATCATGCATATGCCGTTTTAGTTGTTAAATCATTTGAAATTTTTTTAAGTGAAATCATTAAAGAAATATAGGAGAGATTATTAAACTTTCATAGAGTTTATGAATATAGAAAGCAAAGTTGAAAAAATATGCAATTTTCAGATTGTACTGGCCCCACACTCGTGAACATACTGCCAGTAGGTACCAAATGGACTGAGTGGTTATGAGAGAGGGGGGGAGGGAAGGGAGCGAGCCAGCCAGCCCATGAGGTCTTGAGGGTAATAGGGAAGAAATTGGAGGAGAGAGAGTTGGGGGTTAGATTTGATTTGGATTCTTTGTATGCATGTATGAATGCTAAAATAAATTTATTTTTGCTGTTGTTTTGAAACATCGCTTATGCCTGCTAGTCATTGCTTTCAAAATTGTGCTTACTCTTCTGCTGCTTGCATTTGGGGCTTATGCTGAGTACCAGTCAGATATTTCTCCTGATCGCCATTCAGTTTTCTAGGAAAACAAAGGTTGGGTGAGCAGGCATCCTGACTTTACAAGCACTGGCATCTCTGGTTTTACCTGCAATAGGAGACATTTTCTTTTTCTCGAGTGCAAGCGAGGGGGATTATTTCTTGTTTTTTTTTTTTTTTAAAGAACTGGATCTTGGTTTTGTCAGAAACCCTATGAGAAAGTTTCTGTTTGTATACTCTCAGTCTTATGCTGTCCTTTAGATCGCCAGGGTTATACTCCTGTGCTTCCAGTTTTGAAGACAGTTTCAACAACTCTGGCTGTTTGTATTATTTCCTTTACTAGCTTTATTAAACTTATGTTCTGAGATGGATACTTAGAAGGAAGCCAGAGGACTAATGTGGTCATCTGTAATAATAACTGTGTCTGTATTTTATAGAATGAATAGTAAATTAGAGATAATCTCATTATTTGGAATGAATTATATTTTTCTGTTATAGAATAACAGATACCATTGGACCAACAGAAACCTCAATTGCACCAAGACAAAGACCAAAGGCCAATTCCACCAGTGCTGCTTCCAGTGTGCTGACCATTCAGAGTTCAGCAACGCCTGTTAAAGTCCCCGCTCCTCCCCAGGAATTCAGTAACCACAAACCCAAAGGTAATGAGCCTTTGCAATTCTGACCTTTCATGTTATGGATGAACCTGATGTGGTTTGTTTCCCGTGGAGTATAAATGAATTTAACACTGTAAAGCACGGAACAGTGCTTGAAGGAAAGCCTTGCTGTGCAGGCATGTACACTCCAGTAAGACAGACGGGCATGGCAGTGTGCTCCCATAGCCCAGCATGGGCTGTGAGATGGTGCATGGTGGTGGGGCTGGGCACTGGAGGGATGGGTTAGGGGTAGAGACAGGCTGGTTTTAGGTTTGAGGGTCAGCCAGTTCAACTGCAGTGACAGCTTAGTGGGAGACTTATCTTAATGGAAAAAAGTGGGACAATGATTTAGGACGTCCAGACCCCAACCTTTGACCTCTACATGTGGGTGTGCATACCCACATACATGTCTACACATGCACCCCCACCACAAGAAACTGTCTGCTGATGTCCATTAGACTGAACTGTTTTTTTAAAAGGCAAAACAAAGTTATTAGTGATATAAATGTAAGTCTCAGTTTGCTTTGATATATGGGTCGAAGCTCATCTTTTGGGTCATCAGCCAAGAGGTTTGAGGTTTGCTGTACAGGTGTAGGAGACTGTGTGTTATATTAGACAGGAAGGAGTTTAAAGTCCATCCTCACAGAGTTATAGTCTCTAGAGCCTTGGTGAAGGAGCCATATGGATATCACAGCATAAGTACTATTCTGATTTGATTTTGAGAAATTGTTTTTATAATCCTTTTTTGTTCCTTTGAGACAGGATTTCTCTGTGTTGCTCTGGCTGTCCTGTGTAGCGAGAGGTGTTAGAAATGGTAGACCAGATGTGGTCCTGCTAGCTCCTGGCCACTGCCATCTTCCCGCTCTAAAGCGACCCAGCTGGCCAGGAGTCTTGGTCCAGGGCCTATGAGACGTTGGCGTGGCTGCTGCCTCTGCCAGTCAGCTCCGTGGACTCCATGGCTCTAAGCATGGCCCTTGCGCCAACTCCACCACACTCATAGTGCTCGGCTCAACCCCAGACAATATCCACCATGCTTGCGGTACCCGGTAGAAAGAAGACTCTTAATGCTTAAAGATTATCCAATAGATGTATATATTAGCAAGTACTCAATACACAAGATGCCCACACAATTAGAATTGTTAACCCAAAAACATAACCTTGATAAGAATAACTACCTTAGACTGCTAGAGACACACATACATCCACAGCCATCTTCTCTCCTCTCTTCTCCTTCTCCTCTCTTCTTCCTCCTCTCAACTCCTGGCTCCACCTACTTCTTCTACTGCCCAATCACCACCTCTAGCCTTTATTTTACAAATTACAGTGGGTAGAAGGTTTGCAAAGTCACCTGCATACTGATTCACTCCTCCTCTGCAGCCCCTCAGGAAAGTAGAATTAGCATCAAACTGCAAGCCCAGGGCTATCTACAACAGTCTTGGAATTTACTCTATGGACCAGAATGACCTGGATTTCACAGAGATCTGCCTGCCTTTGGCTCTGCCTTCCTAGTGCTGAGATTGAAGGTGTATGCCACTGCCATCTGGCCTGTTTTTATAATCTTAAATGCATTATGGTAGCATAATACCTTAAAAATAATTCTCTAGAATATTTCCAATAGAGTAAATTTAAGTTTTGAAGGCATCAAAGATATAGTCTGAAAAGTCACTTCCAGAAAATCCTGATTTGTGTAACATTTCCTGGCAAATCTGTCTTGTTTTAATGTTTTGATTACAGGTACTATAGTGGTTAAGAGCAAATCTTTTGAGTCATGAATCTGATTTGAGTTTCATTTCTCCCATTTTTAAAAACTAACATATATAATAAAAATATGTGTACCTATCTAATAGAATTCCAAGAAGTTTACATGTCTACCTAATTTAAGGCCTGGTCCAGAAGTGTTAGGAGATGTTAACTGTTACTTACTATTACTTATGTCTAAGCTCAGGGACAGCAGGTGATGCGTATCTTTGCATTTATTACCTGGCATATTGCTACAATCAGTTTGTGGTATTGAAATGCATGAATTGGAATATTAAATCCATGGAGAGGAGAGATGACAGTTTGAACTCATTTGTATATAATTCCCATTTCACTTAAAGATGATTTCTGCATGTAGATGTTTTGGCTGTATGTATGTGTACCATCTATATACCTGGTAGTAGCGTCTAGGACAGGGCATCGGATGCCTTGGAACTGGACTTACAGACAGTTGTGAGACTGCTTCTGCTACATCTTCTGGCAAGTAGATCTACAGCTAGCAGTAGGCCAGGATGGAAACATCTCAGTAGCTCGTGGCAACTCTTTGTAAAAAAACAGTTGTTCCCATTTCTCCTAACCTTAGCCCTGGACAACGGCTATAGAGGTATCATTTGTGCATGACTGCTTTTCAGTTGGCCTTGGTGTGCATAATTATTCCATTATATCTGACTTTCCTATTTGTTTCTCCTTCTGCTCTGGTGAATTCTGTAAAACTAGATGTTCCTTGATATAGTGATTCTTAAGCAGGTAAAAATTGAGACATAGGGCACAGCACAGCACAGTCCTAATGGCCAAGGTGCGTGATGTGTTTAAAACTTTAACTTTTGACTTATTATACTTCAGAGATCAGAGCTCCAAGGTCAGCTATTTGTATTTTTTTGTGAAGCTCTAATGATAAATGACATGGACAAAGCTGCCAGGCAGTAGCCAGAAAGAGTCAAGTTAACCTTTAACTCAATAGTTCCACTAGGTTTTTGTTTCTGCACATTGTACACAATGACTCTTCTAAGAGTCCCAGTGTTTTGTGTAAAACTTATAACTTCAATTGTTTTTCCTTTTCCTGGGGTCCCAATGTTGGCTCTATTTTATTTTCTAATAATTTCTTTAAACTTTCTTTGCAAGTCAAGCATTAATCTGGAACTACCATTGTGCAGTTATTGCATTGTTTCCAAGATGAGAGCACACAGGTGCACCGGGGCCATTGGACTGTGCTGTGCTGTGTCCTATGCCCAATTTTTAATTAAGAATCATTACATCAAGGAACATCTAGTTTCAGAGAATTCACCAGAGCAGAAGGAGAAATAGAAAGTCAGGTAGAATAATTATGGACACCAAGGCCAACTAAAAAGCAGTCACACTCAAATGGAATCTATACAGCTGTTGTCCAGGGCTAAGGTTAGGGGAAATGGGAACAACTGTTTTTTACAAAGATCTGCTGCAGGCTACTGAGATGTTTCTATCCCGACGTACTGTAGGCAGTCCCTTACTTCAGATGGTGGGTCCCCTGGAGGGATGTGTCTCCTGCTTCTCAGGGTCCCAGATGCCATCCTTTCCTATAAGGAGCTGCCGTGGGCTTCTGAGATGTCTCCATCCTGGCCTACTGCTGCCAGTCCCTGTCATGGTAGGCTGTCCCCAGCATCTCCCCCTTTTTACTTAAGAAATTGTATGGTAGGTAAGTGTTTGATATATTCAAACCGTAGCAGGCATGTAGGTAATTTAGGAGCGGCTTTAGGGATTCTTTAGAAGCCACAGGATTCTTAGGGTTCTCTAGGGAATTGAGAATGTGACATGATTACGGATCTTACCCAGAAGAAGAGGTGAGAGCCTCATGTGTAAAGAAGTAGCAGCCAGCCATGAGGGAGCGTACAAGATGCTGGGTCATTTCTGTGGGTTGGATGCTGTTCATGTCCTTATCTCTTCAGACACAGTTATCCAGTGGATTTCTGGGCCTATTGCACCACAGGTCATATCTGGCTTACCTGCTGTTACTCAGTGAGATGATCTGGCTGTCAGTGCCAGACTTGTCCCTGATGACAGGGCTGCATTTGTTGTTTTAGCATGCTTGTTCCTGGTTTACGTTGGAGAAATTACAGCTTTTATATGTATGTGTTTTACTTTTTAAAGATTTCTTTTTTTATATAGAAATTAGAGTAAAATATTCATCTGCTATAGAAATACTGATAGAAAAATGTAAAACTTTCCTGGTTTCTTTTTAGTTAAATACCAGTGTAGCATGTATGCTCTTAGCTTTTTAAGAATAAATAATCATTTTGGTAATAATGAACATAGTATAAATTAATATTACTACTATAGCCATGTTTAGTTCATATAAACAATTATGTCATTGTCATAAATAGCCTCAGACATGTTTCTTTGCTACTTGCTTTTTTTTTTTAAATCAAATCATAAATTTTACTTATTCTCACAGGGGTTATAAACACAAAAAGGCAGGACGTGGGGAAGGGAATGGCACTGGAGTGTGGAGTGGGGAATACAGATATCTTTCAGAACCCGGTATCGGCTGGGTGAAGGTTCAGGGGACAGGTCACTGTGACTCTGCCTATGACTCACTTGTCCTTATCTAAGTTGGTATTATCTGCCAAGGCTACCTATTTACAAGGTCTGTGACTACTCAGGCTGGTAAATTTCCACAAAAGCTGTCTGTTTACAATAGCTTATAGCCATTTGTTTCAATGTTTTTCCACTGAGACCCAAGACTTGGTGTTAGTATACATGTATGACAGGCCTATTGCTGATTTTAGGCCTATGGCTGATTTTAGGCCTTCAGTGTATAAGCAGGGCTGCCCCTGACATCTCCTCCCTTATCTAAGTATAGAAGGGTTGTGGCCATTCTAATCTTGCGATGGCGGGGAGAGAAGCCTGACCTCCAGTACTTGAAGGGGACCTTGTAATGGCTCTAACCCCCCTGTCATTGTCCAGTGAGGCATGACGGCCATACCCATCCCGATGTCTTTTTCCTGGAGAGGGGATACTTTTGACATCAACCCCTATGCAGTCAGGCTTGTCCCTCAGGAAACCCAGAGAGATATTTTTAACTTTTATTGATATTCCCTTGCAGTGCTTAGCCTCGAAGCCTAAGCAAGAATTCAGATCGCCAGTCAGAGGGGGTTCTGGGTGGCCCCTCTTTGCTTGGTCTAGGGGCGGAAGTCCCCTCTTTTAGGTTGGGTGGAGATGGGTTTTGGGAACACCCTGGATAGAGTAACAACCTCATCTTGAGTCTCGTGGTCCTCCATAGCTAACTTATGATAATGTATCTGAATAGGTTTTGCTACCAAATTATTTATCTGTTGTTTCACAAAGTTAGTCAGTCTATTTAAGGCCAGGGACCAGAAGAAATAAGCAAAAATACCCAAGATGGGAGAAAGTAGAGTTGACAACCATGGAGAGGTTGAAAGCCAATTCTTGTACTAGCACTCATCTTTCTCTTTCTCTCTCTGACTTTTCTCAGGGCCTTCTCTGACCTTTTTCATGCTTTCTTTAACCATCCCTGTCTTGTCTATGTGAAAGCAACATTCTTCTTTAAGGGCTGTATACAGTCAAGAGCTGTACACAGTCTTTTCTATTGTACTAGAGTAAATCAAGTCCAATAAGGATCTTTGCGATTTTAGGAGGTCTCATCAGACGGTGAAATGAGGGATTTCTTCAGATTAGTGATGTCAGTCTCTAGCTGTTTGATGTTCTTGTCAGTGGCCCATCGAAGGTCTGAGTAGTATAAGTTTGGAGGCCAGCATCTGGATTAGAACTTCTAACAACAGACATCACGGGTGATTCATTTTTACCTGAGATACTGCCCAGGTTAGAGCTCCTGGGAGGCCTTCTTCCTCAGGGTTTTGTGAGGTTGGGTACAGAGCTGCCGCCTGGGATCTGCTCTGTGCTAGGGCTCAGACTGGAAGTCCCGCTACTTTCCTTTTAAGATGTTTTTGAAAAGTTATGTCAGTATAGATCTGTTGTGTAATTTTTAATTTACTTCATGTCATGAGTATACTGTAAGTTTTATAACCACTTAGATTATTTCTAGTATTTGCTATTATTAATAATGTGGTGGTGAACAATCTTACAATCAGTTCTTGATTTCCATGCCAGTGCATGCCATGCAAACATATTTGGGGGCTGGAGAGATGGCGCATTGGTTAAGAGCATTTGCTGCTCTTCCAGTGAGCCCTCACTTGGTTCCCAGCACACATGTCAGGCTGCTCATAACACAAGCTCCAAGACATCGGATGCCTTCTTCAGAAGTACAAGCATGCACATGTTTACACACACACCTCACATAAATAAAACTTTAGAAGAGGCGTATTCATTTAAGATTTGTGAACAGTCAGATTTGGCCCAAGGTTTCCAGGAACTTACAGCACCAGCCTGTCTTTGCAATGTTTTATAATGTCTGGAGCCATCTAAGATAGGATAAAGGCATGCAGGTGACTGGAGATGGCCCACTGTTTTTGCATGGGTGTGATGCAAACTCTGAGTTGCAGGGCCATCAAATTTCATCTCAGGATTGCTTCTTGCAGCTGGTATACCTTTGCTACCACTATTAAATAGTCTAATGATTCCTGGGCATCAGCCCACCCTATTGGGCAGATTTCCTGCAGATCAACATAAAGATGAACTTTCACGAATTAATGCTGTTGTGGTAAATTAATGACTTTATAGAATTCCTGATTTGATTAAAATAATTTTAGAAAGAAGGTTTTAAGAGATGGCTATAGTTGTTTTGCCAGAACGTTATAATAAAGTTAGACTCAAGTATAGAATATGCCCATTCTTCATAGACTAATAAGTAAAGGCTGCATAATAAAGAACACAATGAGCTTTCACAGTTACACTGAAAAGAGAAATAGGCTTGGAACAAATTTGTGATCAAGGAAGAACATTCATTCTAGGTGAGGTGTATGGATGAAGCCACAGGTGTGCACTATGATAAAGCAAGGCCACGTGGAACTGTTGCTGTGAACTTATAATGAGCTTATAGAATAAAATACTGCTTTAAACTTACTATCCACATCCTTCTGTAACTCCCCCTTTTGTGTAACATTTTATCTATGAGGTGTGTGCTATGCCACAGGAGGGCATTGGGCCTCCTACTGTCTCACTTTCCACTGCATTCTTTTGAGATGGGTTTCCTGATGAAACCTGGAGCTAGCCTGGTAACCAGTAAGCTCCAGTGATCCTTCTGTCTCTCCCATGTTCCCAGCCCTGGGCTGCAGGGGAGCACAGCCCGTCCTGATTGTTTATCTGGTTGCTGGGGTCCAAGTGCCTGATACCACACAGCAAGTGCTTGTACCCACTGATCTTCCTCATCTAGCCCCACACACCTTTTTGAGGCAGGTTTTCTTTTTGTACCTGGAGCTCACTGATTTGGCTAGATTGACTTTCTAAGATATTTATTTTTTGGTGTTGTAGATGATAAAATTACACTTTATAGGCATTTACAATTATAGTAGATACTTGGTTTAGACTATGTAGTGTACACAAAGGTCTATTATAAAACCATGTAAATGTCTTAATAACTTGAAATCTCATTTTAGTGAAATTGCCTATGTATTAATGTTTTTGAAATATAGGAGCATTGAGACCTGGAAGTGGGTCTGAAGTCTTAATGGTTCAGGGCCCCCCTCAGCAACCACCACAGCAGCATAGAGTCCTCCAGCAGTTACAGCAGGGAGACTGGAGATTGCAGCAACTCCCTTTGCATCGTCATCCTCACCAGCAGCAGCAGCAGCAGCAGCAACAGCAGCAGCAACAGCAGCAGCAACTACTTCAAAATGCTTATTTGCAGCAGGTAGTATTTTTATTACCTTATATAGGGAAGTGGTGTTGTGAAATTCACACAGCAATTGAATACCATTGCATTCATTTTTGTATGATAGACTTAAAGTAGGCATATCATAGCTTGAACTGTATTCATATAAACACTATTCCTCAATATCCTAGTCGCCAAAGAATGTTTTATTAATTGACATTTGTTGCTAAGTAAAGAGATGCCCTGTTAAAATAGATTGCACTGTGGCTTTATGAAGTGAAACTGTTCACTTGGTATTCAGAAATAAGCATTACAGATAATTTTGAATCCATAGCAATGCTACTATGGAAAAAATATTGTAGTTTCAAAAGAAACATTGTCTTTTCATTATTTTCTTTCCTTTCCTGTTTGCCCGTGAGCCTGGTAACCCTGGGTCAGTCCTGCAGCTCTGTTACTAATGTCTCATTATTTTGCTTGTGTTGGGACAGAGGCAAATAGGAGGAGTTTTTCTGTCCTTTATAAAATCCTGCAAAATTCTACCCTCGCTAAACTTCTACATGGGACTTTTGTAAGCACAGGCATTTTATCATTATCTAAGGCATGTTTGAGCCAACTGTGTATAGGACACTCCATTGGGCTGCTCCCTCAGTTGTTGGCTGATAGACACAGTGGGGATGGTACCGGGAGGAGAGTGAGGAACCTGGAGACTTGCTGTAAGAGGGATCACTGAGTGGGCTTTCATCAGCTGGGAAAAGGCGATGCTTTTCCCTAAAGGTGTTAGCTTTCCCCAGACATGCTTGAGCTGTGCTGATCACAGTTGTCACACTCTGCTTTATCACTACTCTTAAAACTAATTGGATGGACAGAAATTTACAGTGACAGATTATGGTTGTGTTATATTGTTTTTAAGGCTTTATTTTCTTAATCATTGTTCTGATAAAATCAATATTTAAAAAAACAGAACTAGGATAGAGAAATGGCCCAGTGATTAAGAGTACTAGTTCCTTTTCCAGAGGATGTAGGTTCAGTTCCTAGCATCTATGTGATGGTTCACAACTATCCTAACTCCTGTCCCAGGAAACTAGTGCTCCCTTGGATTCTGTGGGCACTTCCTGTACATGGTGCACAGGCAGACATGCAGGCAAAACACCAGTCACACAAAATTAAAAGTGAATAATACTGAAAGAGAATTCTGGCACTGGAAGGCATGGATATTGTCTTAGTGTTCTATTACATCGAGGAGACACCATCACCAAGACAACTTATAAAATAAAGGATTTAATTGAGGGCGTACTTACAGTTTCAGAGGATTAGTCTATTATCATCATGGTCGGAAACATGACAGCAGGCACACATGCATCTGCTGGAACAGTAGCTGAGAGCTCAAATCTGATTTGTAAGTTGCCCAAAGCGAGAGTGAGACATGAGATTGGAAACCTCAAAGCTTACCTGCCACTGACATGCCTCCAACAAGGCCACACCTACTCCAGCAAGCCATACCTCCCAATTCTGCCCAAATATTATCATTAACTGGGAACAGCATTGAAACATATGAGGACATTCTCATTCAGACCCCCACAGTGTTGACTTCTGTTTCTGTTTTTTCCCCTCTCCTAGTATCAGCATGCAATGCACCAGCAGCAGATACTTCAGCAACAGTTTTTAATGCACTCAGTGTATCAGCCACAACCTCCTGCATCACAGTATCCTATCATGGTAAGGGCTTTGTCCTGTCTAGACATTCTTTAGAGGTATATATTACTAAGGTGGGATTTATAGTATGCATGATGCTATTTAAAATTCATTCTTCAAAACTCAGTTTGGGGCCTGAGAAGATGCATCAGTCCAGCAAGTGCTTATCATGCATGCACAAGGACATGAGTTTAATCTTTAGCACCCACCTAAAAATCTAGGCTTAGTAACTTGCACCTGTAATCCCAGCAATGAGGAGACGAGGCAGAGATGGAAAACCTCTGGGGTTTGCTGGCCAGCCAGCTTAGCCAAGTCAGTGAGCTGCTGGTCCAGTGAGAGAGACTGCATCTCAAAAAGTGAGGAGAAAGAAGGCTGAAGATGCCAGAGGCTGACTGTCCGTCCACACATGCAAATCGGTTGTGTTACTTAGTGAGGGACTCGGAGAGATGCTTCTGTGACAGTGTTGCCAAAAGGACTGAGTTCAGATCCCAGGCTCCCATTAGAAGGGAAAGCCAGCAGCACATGCCCTGTCCCAGGCCCACTGGGTAGAGGTGGAGACAGGTGGATCTTGGATGCTCATTTGTCAGCCATTCTAGCTGATGAGCCAGGTGGGCTCCAGCCTCAGTGAGAGAGCTTGTCTCAAAACCAATCTAAAGATTGATGGAGACATCTCATGGTGGCCTTGGCCTCCCTGTGTTCTTATGCCCTCACCCTGCACTCGCGCACGCGCACACACACACACACACACACACACACACACACTACCCCCAATTCATGTTAAAATGTCATTTAATTGACATATTTTATTTGAAGGCAGATGGATATTCTCAAGCAGCCTGCAGTTAAACTCTTGCATCTGAATATGGCACGTTATAGCTGTCTAATGATACTTGTGATTATAAGAGTCCCTGTTACCTTTTGTCGTATGTGTGTTTCTTCCATTCAGCAAGTATCTATTGAGTAAAAGTGAAACAGAAGGACAATGCCATGTATTTGCTCCAGAGAACAGTTTGCCTTTTCTTCTTTTACAGGAATCAGTTTGCTTAACCTATTTCTTTCTCTTTTTCTTAAAATACTTAAAGGAAGAAATTTGAATCTGGCCAAGCGAGTCTGGCTTTATAATATGAGATGGGTTTAAATCACTCTGTAGTTTTCTGGTAACAGTTCCTTCTTCAAATATTCAGTTATTTTGGGGGTTTCTAGTTTTGTCTCCATAACTGGGAAAAGGAAGGAACATGGTAACCAGGTGCAGAGGTGCAGTGCTTTGGTGACTTGGACATAGGCTGTGTGTTGCTTCTTGTTTCAGATGCAGCAGTATCAGCAGGCTTTCTTGCAGCAGCAGATGCTAGCTCACCATCAGCAGCCAACTCAGCAAGTATCACCTGAGTATCTTACCTCCCCTCAAGAGTTCTCACCAGCCTTAGTTTCCTACGCCTCGTCACTTCCAGCTCAGGTTGGAACCATAGTGGACTCCTCTTACAGTGCCAACAGGCAAGTATGTTCCCAGTAGATGCAAAGGCACTTACTGTGGAAGTGGGTGGTGCTACTGAGAAGCACCGAGTGGCTCTTGAAGGAACACGTTTTCGCTATGAGCGGATTTGTTTCCTCCTAGTCCTCTGTGACGTGTCTGTCTTCCTCCTGTTCCATCTGCTGCCTCCTCCAGTTCCTAATTGCAAAGTTTAGCCACACATAAAGACACTAAGGAGTTTATTGGTGTATACATACAGGCATTCTTTGTAATTTAAGTAGAAGCAAAATCTAAGAAAACCACTTTAGAGTTTGAAAATAAAGAATCCTTATAGATGTGTTAACTTTTTCTACTTATGTGTTACTACTGCCTTCAACTAACTTGACTATTTGTAAAATTTCTATGATTTGGTTCAGTTTACATGGGGGACAAACATTTCAAGTATATCATGCATAGCAAACTTCTTCTTTAGTGTAGTTGAGAAATGGTGAATTTTAACTATTCAGGTTGGTTAGAGTTACTGTGTGAGTACTTTCTATGGGAAATCATTACAATAAATTGAAGAAGTTTGGTACATAATTTCTCACATTTGGATGTGACATTAATATAGTAGGTTCTTTAGGGTCTTGGAATTCAGAGTCAATATTAAGGGGTTTGGAGAGAGCTTGGTAAAGAGCTTTTCTGGCAAGCATGAAAGACCTAAGTTTGATCTTCAGGCTCTATTAATAAAGCAGGGAGTGAGGGCACACACTGTCCTCTCAGAGCTGGAGAGATGGAGACAGAAGGATCTCTGGTCAATCAATCAACTCTAATTGACAAGCCCTAGTATCAAGAAACAAGGTGGACAGCCCCTGAGGAATAACACTTGGGGTTGACTTCCTTCCTCCTCATGTGTGAACACACACACAAACATGCACAAGTATACACGTGCATACAAAGGTACACCCGCTCCTGTCCCAAGGTAGTAAATATTGATATCTTTAAGTATGAAACTGAAATTAGCTGATGTTTTATACTTCTCTGAAAGATCACCAGCTTCTGGAAGTACAAGCATGCACAGTGAAAATGGAGTACTAACTGTGAAAACATGGGTGAGAGGATCCCTGCTACTGTTGTACAGTGTGCACTGTCTTAACTTTTATTATCTGTTGTTTTGATTTTTTTCCAGTTTCTTGGGGAGTGCTGGAGGGTGAATCTCAGTCCTTGCTATGTGGATTTCTAAGGAAACAGCAGCTTAGCCGTTTGGGTGCTGGAACACCAAAGAAGCTCTTAAACACAGGTTGAGGATTTGAAGCAGTAGCTGAGAGAGTGTGCGAGTCTGAGTGGACAGCGAGCATGAGGTCGGCAGCATCCTCCGGACAATTGAATGTGTTCAGAGAGGGTAACGGTGCAGTTCCAGATTTGGGAGTGTGAGTGAGTGAGTGAGTGAGTGAGTGAGTGAGTGAGACAGGAGAGGGGACAAAGGGAGGTGGGGGGAGGGAAGAAGGAAGAGAAATGATAGGGATCTCTTACAGACTGGGGAGACACCAGGACAGAGATTTTAAAAAATTAATAACATACATTCTGAAGCTGGGACAAATGCTTGCAGTGGAGAAGAGCACTCAAAGGTGCACATTAGCGTTTGCCATTTACTTGCTCACGCTAGCTTTTGTCTGCTTAGCATTCTTCCTTCATATATTAGTGGCATCATTACAAGAAAGCTAGGGCCTAACGTACACACTGGAAACACATTAGATCCAGTAGCCTCTGAGCTATGAAATGCGAGCAGTGGTCCAATAAAGCTATGACGTTAGTTCCTCTGTGACAAGAGTGATGTAGTTTTTATTAGAATCACATAGTCTGCTTGATGTAGTTCATATTCACAGCTAAGCTGCTGTTTCCTTAGAAATCCACATAGCAAGGACTGAAATTCACCCTCCAGCACTCCCCAAGAAACTGGAAAAAAATCAAAACAACAGATAATAAAAGTTAAGACAGTGCACACTGTACAACAGTAGCAGGGATCCTCTTACCCGGGTTTTCACACTTAGTACTCCATTTTCATTGTTCACGCTTGTACTTCAAGAAGCTGGTGATCCTTCAGAAGTATAAAACATATACTTTTATGTCAGTAGCCCTAAAACTCAGTGATGAGTACAGCAGCCTCATCAGTGTCTGTTGTTGTTTTGATACTGGGTCTCATTGTGTGTAGCCTTGGCTGTCCTGGTGCTTATTAATAGACTAGGCTGGCTTCAGACTCAGAGGCTCTCATCAGTATCTTAAAGCTAAATAATACATAAAAGGAAATCTTTCCATTTTCCATCTGTCTGTCTGTCTGTCTGTCTGTCTGTCTGTCTGAAAATTGAAGCCATGCCTTGAGCCTTCCAGGCACAGATGCTTTTTGTTAGTTGTTTCTCCAGCCCCTATGCTGTTTTTTTTTTTTTAAATTACTAATTTTTACTTTGTATGTATAGAGTGTTTTGCATGTGCACTATTGGGTACCTGCTATGCACTAAGGCAGAGGAGGACACTTGTCTCCTAGATGTGGGGTCACGGATGGTTGTAAGCCACCATGTAGGTTCTAGGAATGGAACCCAGATCATCTGCAAGAGGAGGAAGTGCTGTTTACCACTGATGGTCTCTCCAGCATCCCTGTCTGCTTTAATAATGAATATTATTCAGTCTTTAATTGTTCAAAATCTTCTTAATTATTTACAGTTATGCAAATCAAATGCCATTTAAAGAAATGCAGTGTAGCAAAGTAACTAATTATGGTTACAGTAAGACAATTACTAAGTGGGGTTACGGATTAGGCTTCATTTTTTGGGGGGTAAAAGTATAAACAATTTGTTAACCCTACACCCCAGCCTAGTTCTGGAGATTAAACTAAGATCTCGAGTACTCATTGTGATACCATATCCCCAGCCCCTGTAAAGTGCTTTAATACACCTTTAAATTTTGGGTTAAGGTGACATTCTGTTGAGCAGTGTGCCAGAAACAGTCTCCGAACTCATTCCCGGAGTGGGAGGAGAATGATTCAAATAGAAAGCCAGGCAGTTTGAAGCATGCTCTTTGAGTTTTCCTATCGGCTGTGTATTTTAAGGACTGTGCAAGTCCAAAGCATTTGGAAACTAGAGATGGAACTCTGCCACATGAAGGTAGATGTATGACTTGGCCATGCCCAGGTTTTATTAACTGATAAGTCTGTTTAGTTGGAGGTAAGTTACTGTTTATTTCCCTTTTGTGTGTTCCAGCCTACAATAATTGTTTAAACATTCTTCTTTTGGCTGAAACACACCCAGTAAACCTGGATTTAGGAATGAAAAGGACATCTGTTGCCCCTTGTTTTCACTTCTGTGATCCATGACAGTGACTTTAGGATTATATACTATTTCTTTTAACACGTAGAGTCCTTCCCCAGTACCAATTTTTTTGGAATCAAATTGTTAAAAAAGCAGAACCTTATTATGGCTGCCTTATTTCTGTATTGGGATTTCTGGTTGGGTTGAGGGAGGTGCCCAGGTACCCTTGGGCTTTAGGCTTGCTTGTATTTTCTCCTAAAAACTAGCAGGCCTATCAGATGAACTCCATAGAACCCATGGACCCAGACCTGGGACCATAGATAAACTTTCAACGACGTGAGTGGTCTGTTATGTGTATGCAAACCCTCAGTTACCTTTGCCTGTGTGTAAGGCAGCACTAGCAGGTCACCAGTTTTTGGAATGTGTTAGAATAACAACTAATACTTAACAAATGCTTGGTTTTTGTTGTTGTTTTTTAAACCAGACACTGCATTTGTTTTACATATATTAAATTATTTACTCTCTTCAGTAGCCCCAAAAGTTTATGCTATATTCCTTTCCTGTGGACTAGGGTGCAGAGGAGTAAGGGCTAAATGAGGAGCACGTGAGTGTGCAGTCGCATGTGCAGGTGCTCAGAGCTGCGTGCCTGTGCAGTTGGCTCACGTGGCAGCCGTTGTCTGTCCATCCTGTACTCTTTATTTCTTTACTTTATCTTTTGGAGACAGGGTCTCACTCTAGCCTACGTTGGCTGGGAACTTACTATATATCCCAGGCTAGCCTTATAGCCTTAGCTGCCAGAGTGCTGCGATTCCAGGGATGAGCCACTATGACCCACGTTTTAGTTTCTTCCTTGATGAGTATTGAATCCCGGGTCTTATGTATACCAGGCAAGCATTTTATCCCTGAGCTCCAGCCCAGGCTCATCCTGTACTTAATCTACCGTCCACACTCCAGGTCTTGTTCCAAGAGTTTGTGCAGTGTGAAGTGAGGCAGGGAAAAGTTCCCTGAATTGTAATGTCATCCCTGTCATTCTCTTTCCTCTCTCAGCAGGTCAGTTGCTGAGAAAGAGGCAGTTGCAAATTTTACAAATCAGAAGACCAACAGTCACCCTCCTGACATGTCGGGCTGGAATCCTTTTGGAGAAGACAATTTTTCCAAGTTAACAGAAGAGGAACTGTTGGACAGAGAATTTGACCTTCTAAGATCAAGTAAGGGACACTTGAAGGCTTATTTTGCTTCACAGTAGAGTAACAGCTATATAGTTCAGCAAGGCCAAAGACTGTGAGGTGGTGTCAGAAATTCTTTTGTGCATTTGAGAGAAAAATACAGGCCACTTTCTTTCATATATTATTAAGCTGTGTTGTGTCACACACTAGAAATTAGTTGCCTGATAGTAGCTAATAAACTCAAGATTGCTGATATTTTAACCGTTAAAAACTATCTATGAATGTGCAATTCATAACATCTTCAAAACATGGAGGTTAATGTTCAGGTAGAGAAGACATTGTCAGTCCCTTGCCTTATTAATCGCTCTGCAGCTCGCTCTTGCACACTCAGTAGGAGAGAGTATGTCTGAGACTCCCTTGAGCATGCCCAGAGAAAGCATGGGCTGCACTAAGGTAATGTTTTGTCATTTCCTTTCACTGAGTGGTGACATAAAGGGACTGCTTTGTTGTCCTGATATGGCCAAAGTTAAATAGATTTTTTTCCACTTTCAGTCTGATATCTCAATGTTTTTACTTGGAATTGTTACCTTTTCTCAAACTACCTAATACATACATCAAGCTCTGCCATATGGATTTTAGAAATGATCTTTTTTGGAAGAATGTAGGTTTGAGGAGGTTTGCAGAAAAGCAAGAAGCTCATTTTGTGGAAAATGTAGGAGATTTTCTAGTTTCTGAGGCTTGTATGTATGTGTATATGTGTGTGTATATGTATACATGTATACATATATACTGCTATATACATACATATATATGTATATATACATATAATGTGTGCTTTTTTGCATATAGAGAGAAGGGCCTAATAACTCTCAGTTTCTAATTTCTATTTTATTTAAGTAACTAGCTTTATGAACACATTTAGTAAATGAAATGCTTTATCTGAATTAGTATGTATTTTATGTAAAATTCACAGATGGCCTACATTCATGTAAAGGATTCCTGTAAGGGATTCATGTTTGACATCTAAATTTGTATTTTGCATATTGGTGATTAAGTGTGAGCATAAAAATGAATTTTAAGCCTATGATATACATTTGTTAACTTTGATAAGAAAAAAAAAACCAATCTTACCTCATATTAAAAAATGTTTTTAAATCACAACATTTTTGTATGGTATTTTTCGTGGAATTTCTATTAAGTAGCTCCTGGCTTTTAAAAAAGGTTGTAAATGGTCTCTTTTGAAGAATAGTAAAGGGAGATCAGGAGGTAGTCAAGTAATTATAATTTATAGGATTATTTTAGTTTCTTAATGTGTGTGTGCATGTATGTGTGTGTGTGTGCATATGCTCATGTACATGTGTTTGCATGCGTGTGCACACCTGAAGTCCCTCTCTCCTTTACTGTTTGAGGAATAGTCTCTCAGATGATCCCACAAATAAAAACTAGAGTTTTGGAGTCATTTTGTCTGGAGTCTTCCTGTCTGCCTGCTGGGCACTGGGTTTACAGTTGGCCACCGTGTGCCTAGCATCTACGCTGGGGATTTGGAGTCTCTCCTTACGCTGGTGCAGCAAGTGTATTAAACAAGCCATCTCCCCAGCCACGGGTGAGTTTAGAAGCAGAAAGTATCAGTTTTAATGTGCTCTGAGAAGGGTCTGCTAACAAATACTTACTGTTTCTTGGGTTTAAAAAATAATCATTTTATTATTTTGTGTCTTCTAAAATGTGGTGTGTCTTTGGTGGAGGCAGGAACTGGATGCGGACATGCTTGCATGTATAGTTTCATTTTTAAATTTTGGAATAACTGTTTTCAAATTTGAAGATAGGCAACATTAGTGCTGCACACATGGACTTGTATACTTGTTGACAGAGGCAGCTCAGCCTGCATCACACTGTATCACAGAAGATGCCAGGTCCCAGATGAGAGCCCAGGAGCATGGATGGAGAGCAATCTCTGCCATTATAAACTATCCAGATGCCCTTGAGCAGGGTCACCAACACCACCGGGCTACTGTACTCATTTCAGCACACAGCCTCAGAAACTCACTCTTGATCCCTGCTGATGGGATCTCACTAGACTAAAGTCACAGTGAGGCCACTCAGCTGCTGTGTCAGGCTCACCCCTGCCGCTTGTAAGCTGGGATAGATGGGACAGGGTTATTAGGGGAGCTGAATGAAATGATTGTCTCTACACAGGGAATGAGAGCCGTCATCACCTCATGTCTTAAAGTGTTTAGCTGGCATCTTGCAACTATATTTAATTCACTAGGTTTCTCAGTAAAGTAATCAGATGAGAGTCAAGAGCATACAGCACTGACCTGATGGGGACATGACGGCAGGGAAGCCGATGGACAGCAATCCGTAGTCTTCACATTAAGTGAGTAGACCGGAGTTCAAAGGAAGGAGTGGTACCTTTATGCAAATTTATAAATTGGTAGTGTATGAGGTCCATATTCTTTAGAAACACTTCCTTCTATAGTCTTACTTAGGTGTAACAGTCATCTTTGATATCTCTTTCGGTACAGCAGTAGTGTATCTAACATTTGATCTGTATGGTAGAGCTTAAATCATTCTGATAAGCAAGGAGCTCCTCTAGAACCTTCATTTCAGTAGAAGCCTGACTGTACACTAAGGGTTGATGAGTGTTCATTATTGCTTGGTTCTGCTGTCCTCAATGATTTTTTTCCAAACTGAAGAATTAATTAAATTAATGCACTTGAAATACCACATGGTTTATTTACACATTTGTTACTTGCCACACATGTTTATTGTTTTCCAGAGTTGTTTGTAAAAGCACACATGTTTGGTTAATGAAATACTTGCTGGGGAGAGACTGACCATCTTCCCGATGCTTTTGAGAACACACTCTCCTTGCAAGTGATACATACGTTGCAGAGTGGCTACATTGCCACTCAGGATTTTCCTGATCAAGTGTTAAATGCCTATTTGTTTAGTAGGAAATAAGATAATATTGTCTGAAAAGATCTATTACTTGTGTGCTTCCTATAGGAAGCAGTTTTAAAGTAGTAACATTTTTGAGATATTAAAACTGAAATAATTGATAATATTTTTTAGTGGTCTTTAAGGAAATAGTTGATTACCTGTAACAGGCATTTAACATATAAAATAAACTATTGTTGCTTTAGCTATCAGTGTAAATGAATGTAATTTATGGTTCAGAATCTTTTACTGGTTCTTTCCTAATAAGAATACATTAAACCAATATGAAGTATTAATGGTTAAGTTTGTCTCAGTGATGTGTTTTCAAATTACGCTTGCTGCTGTCCTTATCTTTTGTACCAAAGCATCAGATCAGTGTGTATCCCTCAGGAGGTTATGATATTTACTATGTTGAACAGTAACTGGAATACCACCTTTGGGGAAAATGTCAACTTGCTTCTTGTTAGATGGTGGTATCCTTGTAACTGTCCATTAAGAACAGTGGAAGGTTGATTCTTAGACAAATAGAGTTACTGTTTTCTGTTTAAAATTTTCTTTAAAATGACTAAAAGGAATAACAGAAACTCAAAGACTAGTTGTTTCACAATTTTATTAAGTATGTTCTATAAATTTTGAAGACACAATAGTTGTAAATGTAAGGGTATCTAAAGTAACCTTCGTTCATTCTGACGTGTTACGGTGTCTTCAATGCAGAGTAATGATTGTCAGGTACCTTAGACTGACTCCATAGTATCAATGAAGACTTCTTTACAACTCTGTTAACTCTTAAGTCTTTGTTAGAGGGCGTTATCTATTTCAGCTGCACAGTTAAAACATCTTCTAGAGTTGGTGGTATGATGGAAGACTTTGCTTTCAGAATTTTAAAGTCCTACCTTTTTTTCACTGTTTATATCAGTTGAACCCTTTGAAAAGAATCTGTTTTCACTTTCCAGCACAATGCTTTTATGTGTCAGGATGAGACAGATTCCTTATGTGTAACCCAGACTTTGTTCTACTTGAAAGAAAACCATCCATTTGAAACTAGTACTTAACATAGATTAGGGGTGACCAGGTCTTTAAAACGTAGCTCCACAGTAAGCATTTCGTTTCTATATCTATGTGACTGATTGTGTAGTAAACTAATGTGTATTTACTTTGTATTTTGTGTTCTGAGACCCAGATTATGTGAATTTTAGAAATCTTAAGTGATATAAAAAATATTCCATTAAACATTGATTTTGTATTTTGTGGAACAATAGAACATGATGCATTTTGTTACAAATGTATTCTTGTGTTTGAAAATAATTGAGTAAATGAGTTTTTTATACAACAGTAACTCCTGTGTTTTTCCTCTTGAAGACTTCTATATAACAATTAGCTTACTTCCACATGAAGGTTTTTGTTGTTATTGTGTCTAACTGCACAGTACTGTTTATGTATTTACCACAATTTGCTTGATTGTTGAAAATAATATACCAAATAGAAAAGAATTCCAAGAGTGTAGTAGTGCTTTTGCACCTTTGTAAGCCGGGGAACCATTGTTATGATAGTGTCTTATAAATTTAGAGAATACAGTAAAAGTGGAGGTTTCCAAGTTCACACTTAGATACTGTGGTGCATCATGTCTGTGTTACAGGGGAAGCAGCTGCTCTGTATTAATCTCCTGAAGGGTGGGATGCAGGCTTACGGAGGCTGTGTCTAGTTAGACTTACGTGTCTACATTCCGCCTTGATTGGGGGAATTACCCTTGATGCTTTTGTGGCTGTCACTTGGGTTAGCTTTCATTGGTTCTTTTGTGCTCTGTCAGGACGGGATAGAGAGGGTGTGTAGAAGGCCGAGGAGCCAGGAGGAGTCTTTGATATGAGTATATAATCTCTGGTGTATAGATACACGAGAGGCCCCTATACTGTCCTTCCTTCACGTGCCAACATTGCCTCTCGTATAAATGGTCTTCATTGTCTTTCCAGAAAGATGCTATGAAACTAGCTCTTCAATTGGTGCTTTAACCTCTAGCCTCTTAATTTACTCACCAGAACAATTCTTGAAAACAAGCTAGCATGAAAATGGATTTGACTTTTTTTTTTTATCTTTTAAAGTGGCTCTGGACCAAAGGTCTACTGGGAATGCCTAAAATCTCTTTCTTGATAAGTTTCAAATAGTACAGTTTTGATTGCTTAAAATAAGGAAAGAGACATTGTACAAAAGGTCAGAAAGTGCTTAGTTGGCAAGTCGTATCCCTAGTGAGGACAGCTTGAGCGTAAGGGAGTACAGCCATGAATGGGGAATGGAGACTCTTTCTCAGCCATGGCTGCTCTTGCCCTTGCTCTGTGATGTTCATCCTTGCCCTGTGTCTCCATCTCCAGCTGCCTGCAGTCTCTCTGTGCTCTGTAGCCAGTAGGCTCACTCTGTCATCCTGCCTTCCTTAGTTTTCAAACATACTGTATACATGTTTGTTTTTCATATAAGCTACATGAGGGTAGGGGTCAGAACAGTGCTGTGCATGGTGTATACTAAACACTCAAATATTTGTTTGATGAATAAGTACACTTTGTGAGCGTGCGTGTGTGTGTGTGTGTGTGTGCGTGTGCACATGTGTGTGTGTGCATGTAATAGTACAAAGTGTTGAGAGAAATGAATGTCAAATGGAGTGAATTATTTTTCTGACTATTGAGAATTAGAATTTACCAACTTTAGGAAGGTATAACCATTTGCAATTTTTTTCTCCTATAGGATTTTGGTGAAAGTGCTAACTGTGTCTTTGTAATAAGCAGGGTTTAAACTCAAGTTCAATATGTTACAAATAAAAATAGCTAGTATTAAATGAACCAGACTAATTAGGTAGATTGTATTTAATGTAATCTAGCACTGATTAATCTCTTTGAACTTGGTTTTCTAGCAACAAATACTTATTTACCTTAGGACAGACCCTCAGCCCTTATCAGAACAGGGCTGTGAATTACGCTTTTCATAAAGGCTGTTGTTTTAATTTTTACTTTGGTTTATATTGTATTTTACTTTTTGTTTAAAACCATCTTTATTTTATTTTTGTTTTGTTTGATCTTATTTTTGCAGACAGGCTCGGGGAGAGCACACCCTCAGATAAGAATGTAGACCTGCCCCCTGCCCTGCCCCCTGCTCCACACAGCTATCCTCCGGAGGAGCCTTTTGCTTCCGTCCCTTTCATTCCTCACTCAGGCAAGTTACACATGTGGCATCGTTGTCCTTGAAACACACATGAACAGAAGTAAGAGACGGATGTTAGGTACACAAGCTCGAAAATAGGAAGTATGTAACTATTAACCATCTAATCTTCCTAATGTGTGGCCTTTGGAGTTGCTGTTGTACATTTGCCAACAGGAGATACACAATTCTTTTCACCAGTTACTGGGTTCTATTTAAAAAAACAAAAAAACCACAAAAAACATCGCACATGAAGATATCTTCTATATTTAATATATACTTAAAATACTTTTATACTTAGATTTTGCTTAAAAATCTGATGTTTACTTAGCATATACATGATTTCTTGTAATTGTCTTAATGATGTTGTATTTGGCACGCCACTAACTACCCTTCTTATATTCACGCTTTTGATTTCAGTTCAGAAGTTGAATGCTGATACAATTCACTATGTAAAATTATTCTTGTTAGTAATTTCAAAGTAATTGTATGATGCAGAACACCTAGCATGATTGTTTTGAATTGCTGTCATATTCTGTATTTTATTCTTTTCTATCATTGAAGACCTTCCTTACATTTCTGCTCGCTGTCCTTTCATTGTTAATTTTGTGGATGACATATCTGTAGCATGGACAGTTAGCTGTGTATCTATGCTCATCTGTACTGTGCGGTTCCTCACACAGCTAATATCCTAAGTCAAAAGTATGTTATTTTTCTTGTATATCAAAAATGCTCATCACTCTTCAGGGATCTTAGGACTTAGTGACTTGAGATGCAGAAAGCAGTTTGAGTGCAGTGTTGTTGTTGTTGTTCCTCTTCAGCTGGAGTCCATTGCCCTGCCTAGGTTTACACTTCTCCATGCAGACCACTTCCAAGGACCCCTGCTGTAGGGAGACACACGCCTCTAGCCTCCGAGGGTACCTGCACTCATGTGCACATAGCACACACAGATGGGTACACATGTGTGTAATTAAAATAGTATAAATGATGTAGTCATTTAAAATATCAGATTTAGCAAAACAGTCTTCCATGGCTGGTTCCTCTCCTTATTTTCTGTTTAATCTCCTCCTGAACGGATTTTGGATGACATGTAAAATTTATATTTTGGCTCACATGGGTTGAATTTATAATCATATATTTATACCGTTAGCCCTTCTTATACGTGTACATTCATTGTGCATGTAGAGTCATGTACCACATAACAGGATGTTCAAATCCAAATATATGACTGCTGTCTCCTGATACTGTGTTTCTGGGGCTGTGGTATAACTCAGTGGTAGCTCGGGTTCCTTAGTATACACACAACCCTGCCTTAGATCTGCAACACACATGCCACATGGAAAAAATGCCCCTCCCCCACAAGACTGTATGCTAGAATTTGGATATCTTCCTTAATTGCTTTCCAATTTCCTCCTTGAGACATCTTGCTGAACCCAGATATTTTTTTATTAGATATTTTATTTATTTACATTTCAAATGTTATCCCCTTACCTTGTTTCCCCTAGAAACTCCCATCCCATCCTCCCTCCCCCTGCTTCTGTGAGGGTGCTCTCCCACCCATCCACCCACTGCTGCCTCCCTGCCCTGGCATTCCCTCACACTGGGGCATCCAACCTTCCCAGGACCATTCTGCCTCTCCAGTATCTCTCTCTCAGTCCTCTGGCGCTTTGGGATTTCCTGGGACTCTCATGCCCACCCAACTGTGTGAGGACTCTGGGGATCCAAACTGTGCTCCTCACATTGGTGTGGCAAGCACTTTACCAGGTAGATTTTTGAATGGCTACCTAGATTCAGTTTCACCTCCTCACCTCCCAAATTCAGATTCAGCATGCCATGGTCACAGCCCTTCTGCAAGGTACTGTTGTCTCTGGCATCCCTTGCTATGGTGATTTGCTGCTGCGGTTCTTTTGCCATGCTGATTTAAATCTTTTGTTTACTACCATGCTATTTCCGTGATCCCCGCCCCCTGCTTAGTTTGTTCTGTACTCTGTTAATTCATCTGTTTGGAATTGGTCACTTCACAGTTGTCACAGTTGCTTCCTTTTGCTTTTTGGTCTTCATGAAAATTCCTGGATCTCCCTTGCTCTTATTTTCCTACTAAAGCAATTACTCCCACTCGGGACGTGTACATGGCAGGAATAGTTGGAAGCTTCACTGACACTTACTTGATTGATAATTTGGGTGATAAAATAATTCCAAGTTGTATGTTGGTTTTTTTTTTTTTTTGATCTTTATTTGTATTTTATTGTTTTAGGTTGGTATGGGGTTTCAGCATGTACTCCAGGTTGGCTTTACACTTGAGATCCCTCTGCCTCAGCCTCCCTGGGACTAGGATTTTATTTTTTTAACTTATTTATTTTTATTTTTTATTTTTTTGGTATTTGGAGGTTCCACTTCTCTCATTCTGCCCTCTCTGGTTGTTGAGCAGTGTAATGCCATGTAATCACTGCTGTGTGGCCTTCACCCCGCCCCTTTTCTCCTTGGGCATTTTTAGCATCTTAACATGTAGTCTTAGTCTTCAAGATGTCTTATTCTGTTTTAGACTTTTTCATTATTTATTATACTGGAGAACTTTTAGTCTGAAATATGTATTTTCTTGATGTGTCTTTTGTTGTTGTAAATGGAAGGATATTGTGTGTTGTGGATTGATTTTTTTAGTTTAAAATGTTGGCAATGTTTTCTGTTTTCATCTTAGAAACTCCCTATTGTCTGTTATTTCTAATTGCAAGTGCCATCATATTTCTTGGATTTTCTTTGATTCAGTGTATTTTCATTTCTGGGGCTACTTTATAGTTTTGCACATTCTTTGGTATGATTTTTCTTTATCTTTCAGTTTAAGACTGTCAGTAAATGAATGCCAGTCTCTCACTTCCCACTGTGGGTAGCTTGTGAAGGGAACCTGAAGGACAGAAAGAATTCTGTTGAGAAGATGCAGTATTTCCTAGGCTGGCAGTTATTTAACTTCATACAGGTGACTGAGTGCAGAAGGCTTGAGAAAGTCAGGGAGAAGAGAGACATGAGAGGGAGCGATCAACTGTAGACTTCTAGCTATAACTCTTCCATAATGTGTTTTGATTTAAAAAAAATAGTGCTGGTTTCAGTTTTTAAAAAATTGTTTACCTTATGATGTTAGTTTCTGTTCGTTAAGTATCATTTTCAGAATTTATTCTGTCTGTGGTCTTTTGAAGTATGTTGGGGATGCTGTGCTTAGCCTTTGCAGGAGTTAGTGTCTGATCTACTGCTCCCCTCAAAACATTCAGAAGAGTTCATCTGGGAGGCCAGCCGGGCTTCAGAGTTTCTTGGGGAGAGATTTTTAAGTACATACTTTATGTTGTTAATATTCAAGTACATACTTCCTTTTGGCAATACACGTGTTTCACATGCTGTTTCATATGTTTGTGGTTTTCTTCTGTAAATTTTGAAATGTGCTTCTCCCACCCCAAGAAGTTTGCCTGTTTCATGTAAGACACTGGATGTTCACTGTTGATGCTTTTCCTGATATGCCAGAATCATTCCTCTAAAAACGTGCAGGCTGAACTTGCTGTTCCTTCCTTAGTTTTAAAATTTATGTTTCCTCCATTTGACTTGCTCAGACTTTAAGGCAGATCAACTATTTTAATTTCCTAGGATGAGCTTTGACTTTATCTGCTCTTTAATTCATTAGTTAGGTTATAATCTTTCTCTTTTACCTATTTTGGGAACAGTTTGCTATTGTCTAGCTTCTCAAGCAAGGCCTTAATACTTTTTCCCTCAGCATTGAAATTGGAGCCCAGAGTCTTGAACATTCTAGGTGTGGTCTGTCACTGAGCCGCCGCTCTCTCCTCCACTGTTCCTATTTTTATTTTGTGTGTGTGTGCGTGTGTGTACATGTGTGTGTGTGCGCGCGCACGCGCGCGTGAGCGCGTTCTGGTGAGAACCATAATGGAGGTCAGTGGATAACTGTGGGAGTTGGTTCCCTCTTTCCACCCTGTGATTGTCAGGAATTGAACTCTGGTTGTCGGCCTGGCGCCCTTTCCTGCTGAGCTATTTGCAAGCCTCACAACACTGTATTTAATGCACAGCTGCTCAGGAGCTTGCCTTGCAGATATTTTTTTAAGTGCTGCTATTACACACACACACACACACACACACAGACACAGACACACATATATATACATTTAAAAATATATATATAAATATATATTAAAATGTATATATCCATTTAAGATGTATATCTACATTTTAATACACTGTCATTCACTTAAAGTATTTTTAATTTCTCACGTGTTCTAATGTATTTTAATTAAAGGTTCAAATTCCAGATACTTGAATTAATTAATTAGCTAATATTTAAGATAGGTCTCACTATGTAACCCAGGCTGTCCTGGAACTCAGAGAGACCTGCTCACATCTGCCTCCAGAGTTCTGGAGTTAAGGAAGCACAGCTCCATGGCTGGCTAGAATTGATTTTTTAAAATTAGTTGAAGATTTACTTAGAGTAAACAGTAATATAATAATAAAATAACGGATCCTCTTTCTTTGGGTGGAGGAAGGAGACAGGAATTGATAGTGGCTCAGCCTGTCCTCAAACCTTGTCCTGCTTCAGCCTCCCGAGTGGTGGGGTTACAGGTTGTACTCCTAGGCCTGGCCATAAGCCTCGGTAAGGAAGATTGTACTTTTAAAGGAAAAAGTTCAAATAAGCCTTGGTTGGAAAAAACCTAATTGATTTGTATATTGATTAATAGAAGTTGGGATATGAAATTGAGGCTTTAGCTCAGATGTGTTTGTATATATATAACATTATTAAATTTTTTTATATAGTAAAAAGACCATATAGTTGCCAAATAGTTCTTTATTTGCATAAAATATTTTATCTGATGCAAATTATTATAAATAATAACACATTAATGCTATTAACATTAAAATTTCCCTTAACAAATCTGGAAATTTTCTTGCAATCAAAATTATGCCATTTAGCTTCTTTGTAACTAGTGTTTCCCCTATTGATATAAAACTGCTATTTTGGGCCCAGTGAG